GTAAAAATCGACACGTTTCAGAAAGGTGGGGCATAGAGGAGAAACAATAATGTACAGTATGTGGAAAATAATGTGTTTTTGAACCTTAAACCGCATAAACACATTTCATTACACCAAATAATGTTCTTTTTAGCAACATCATATGACCCCTTTAAATGTTAGACTATACTCGCACTATCTATCTATCCATCCGTCCGTCTGTCTATCTATCTATCTTTGTTTTTTTGTTTAATTTAAATTTGTTTAAATAAAACATTTGTTTAATTTAATTTTATTTTATTTTACTTATTGTTCAAAAAAAGTCTCATGGAATTTTTCATAGATTTTTAAAATATAAAATTCCACTGTTTTAAGGAGTTGATTGCGCACAGTCACATTCATATAAATGTATATATAAATGTGACTCTGACAAAGAAACAGAGCATTTCTGAGGGGTTTGGGAAAATCTGACTTATTCCTATTGCAGAATATTATCACATCCCAGCTCCTATCAAATGAGTAACAGCTACACTCAGATTACCTCTCCAAAACACAGATGTGCAAGAATGAGGGCTTAAAGTCTATATGTGTGATGAATATGAAAAGACAGTGATTAGTACAAAAGTCAAAAGAAAAATGAGAGTCTGAATGACTTTTATGGTGGGAGACAGGCAGCAGCTGGTCGGTTGCTAAAACAACCAGGATTAGTCCTGCGCCATTGGCCCTCAGCTGGACCGCAGACTCTTTCTCCAGGAGGTCTGAACTCCATCCCACCTGGATTACAACACATCTGGCTCAAATAATCATTTATATCATAGAGTTTTTGTCAAAATATACACATTTCATGTGATAGACATAGTGCACACTATACCTAAAGCCAACTTGTTAACAATATTGATCTACAGAAACAGAGAGCCGATAACACAATGCCTGGCATGAGAGGAGAAAAAAAGTGATTGCTGGTTTAACATATCAATCATTTATGACACTGTAATAGGAAAACGCAAATGTAAACAAACAAGGAGAGGGAAGGACACAAGAGTATGACATCATCAGTAGTAATGCAGAAGGGTGCAGTATCAGAACACCACCACAGGGGGAGCAGTGCGTTTGAATTGAGAGGGACGACAATACAAGATACACTCTTAAAAATAAAGCTTCCAAATTAGTGTTTTCACAGTGATGCCATAGAAGAACCATTTTGGGTTCCCCAAAGAACCTTTCAGTAGACAGTTCTTAAAAAGATCCTATTTTTTTTTCTTAGTGCGAAGAACATTTTAGCTGCCAGATCCTTTTTAAGAGTGTATTTTCATCCTAAACATATTATGTTACTTGTTAGAGGCTTTAAAGTGCTGAAAAGAGCAGACTCTAGTAAACTTACTATTGCCTATATACAGTATCTGTCACTGAAACAGCACGACTAGCAGGGCTAAAACATTTATGACAGTTCCAGCCTACTGTGTCAATCCAGACAATCAAGCGGACTAAAAGAAGTCTGCATTAAAATTGACCTGTTCTGCTGCTTTCTTTTTTCTTATTAGAAAGCAAACAAATAAACTGGTTCCAGATCAGCTCACATGCCAGCATGTGAAGCAGGCATGTGAACGACTGACTGAGAGTATTGTCCAGTGGCAGATGAAACAGATTCAGATACACAGTAGTTTTATTCAGAAAAGCAGGCTGGGTCGACCCATTATGCAGATTTTGTAGAACGGGGGTGTTTGCACTCTGAGACCCTCTTTACTGAACTAGGTCACACTTTGTCATGAAAGCAAAGAATTTCATTGAAAAGAAAAGAGAAATTAACAAACAACGCTGTCAGCAATTTGTGCATGTTGGAGAAATAATTGATTTAGCTAATGCTGAGTACCAGCACTGCTCGATAGTCCAGAATAGATTGAATACTCTCTCCTTGGCTTAGCTTAGCCCTCTATCTTGTTCTCTATCACACACTCACATTGTCTGGCAAGACCAAACATCACTTCCAGGACGTTTGGGAAGAATCCGTAATGAGACAGAAGCATTGTGGCAGGGAGGCGTCTCCATGGTGACAGGAAGCCAAGCTGGAAAAAACACACAATAGTCAGCAGCAGTGGGAGGTAAAGGTGAGCGTGATTTCACCAAGTACAACATATTCCTGGATCAACATCCTTGTTGATCCTGGAACAATATTCCAATTAACCAATCAGAATTGAGGGATAACTTTTCAGGAAATATCTGTTTTAGGCTTACGATCAGGGTTAGGTGCTTCTACACCCTTGTAAATCAGCTATCATTCCACACTGATTTTAGAAATAAATTATGGGTAAGGTTAGGTTTAGGGGTAGGGATTGGGTTTAGTCTATATTTTTGGACAGTAATGTTGATCCAGGATCAACAAAAGATGTTGATCCAGGAACATGTCTTACTTGGCAAAATCACGGCGACCGGAGGTAAATGTGAGAATACGTAGAGAAGGGTTTGTTGGTGTGTGAACAAGATGGTGAGCTTCAGAATTTCTTACATTATGAAATTATAATGACTGTAAATGGCTTCGAGATTATCATTGCTTCTGGGTCAATTAGGGCCTATGAAATAAGTTTTATTTTTCCCAAATTCCATTTTATTTTATTTTAATTTTTCTGGACTCCATTTTTTTCCATTTTAATTCTTCTGGACTCCTTTTTAATGGTTAAATTACATTTTATTAATCAAAAAGCATGTCGTAATTAAAATCATAAAACTTATACAATTTCACATAAATTTATTAAAGTTTAACAGAAATGTTTAGGGCCCTATGAAATGAGTCTACAGTGAGTTTGGAAGCCATCTGATTATGTTCTACTGTTTTTCATTTTGTTTGTTTTTGAGACATCTCAATGTATTTTTATAGTACTTTATACATCTTTTATTTCTATCTATTGTTCCTGACCTTTTTTCATATTACAAATATATTTTGTAATATATTGCAAGACTTACCACAACACCTGTTTAAGTGTAATGATCTTTTGATTGATTCATTCAAAGTTTGACAAATTGCGTGACATTCCGCGTTAAACAGTAAGTTCCATTTTTATAACTGGATTCCACGATTCCGCCCGCGTTTTCCACATCCTGGAAATCATAGGGCCCTAGTCAATAACATGAGGCTCACTTTTTTGTTGTTCAGATCTATTAATTCCTAAACCAGTTAAAAAGGCAATTCACGCATAATGACTTTACCTCAGAACACCTCCTCAATGATGAGCATGTTTTCATTTCTGAATTTAACAAAAAATAATGATATGCACTCTGCATTAAAGACTAATTCTCAAATTTCAGAATTAAAATTATTTTAGGTATTTTTGTGGGACATAAAGCAAAATGTCAAGGTGATACAACTGTCCTGACATCATACTGAAGAAAAAAAAAAGCCTCTTTAGATATTATAGTAAAAAAAATAAGCCTCATTAAAAGAACAAAATTCTTGAACATGAACAATGTTAGCGCTCTAACACTTGTGAGAGCGACACATGCTGCTCATTTCTGGAAACTGGACTATGCAGAGGACAATTAAAGCAGAAGGTGAAAGTACATTTCAGATCAGTGCATGTTTTTAGCAACGCCAGCATTGTCCTAGACTGACTGACTCCCTCCTGCCTGTTCCAAATAGTGTTATGTAATCCTCCGAAATGTACCAATTTTGCTATTTTATTAGACTCACATATCAAAACGGCATTAGGAGGGAGGGATGTCAGCGATCCTGACATTTAAATATTTGAAGGTACCCAAAGAGTTGCCGTCTGGAGGAATACACCTCTAAGACTGCCTCAGGACAGTAAATACTCACACTCAGCCCATTCAACATGATGAATGTCAAAAATAAACGGTATGGTTTTGGTATTTAATTATCATATATAATTCCACTGACTCTACTGAACAGAGACCATTTCAGGATCACAAAGGTCATTTCATTACTGAAAGACAATCACAAGTGTTGTCATTTCATCTCAATTTTTTTATTCATACCCATTTTGTCCTTTTTCTGTTCTCTCCCTTAGATAATACCTTCTGTTCTGACCTGGGGATGGAGCACAAAAACTGCAAACACAACAGAGACCATCTGTGATGTCTGTGTCCTATGTATATTATTATGCGTGGTGAAGGTTATATCTAGAGGATAAGATCCTGTTAAAGGAATAGTTATCTCAAAAATGAAAATTCTATCATTGTTTATTCACCCTCATGTCATTTGAAAACCTTTCTTTATTACATTTTTAAAAATAAAGGTTCCAAAAGGTTGTTTTTTTTTTCACAGCGATCCCATTTAAGAACTATTTTGGGTTCCCCAAAGAAGCTTTCAGTGAACAATTCTGAAAAGAACCATTTTTAAAAGAACCTCATTGGCATAAAATCAGCTATTTCGCAGAATGTCCGAGCTGCTCTTTTCCATACGGTAAAAATGAAAGGTGACCACAGCTCAGAAATTCTGCTAAATGTTTCTCTTGTGTTCCATGAAAGAATTGCGTTTGATTACGTAACTCTATGCTGAATCAAAGTGCCACCTGCCAGACGAGGAAGAATTACTGCTGCAGTAAAACACTTCCTAACCTAGTCACCACGATTAGACATTGATTCAGGCTTATCCCATCTGCGTAAGAGCTCGTCTCAACTCCCCAAATAGAATGGCATGCCACCAAACTAACTGCAAAGACTCTAAGTACATCTGACCATCAACCGGATGTTTACAAGCACTGGCCATCCTCCCCATAATTACGCTCTCATTGAGAGTAAGTGTTTCTCATAATCCTAATTACACACAATTACTAACAGACACATCACTGCAGTCTATTACATCATGTGAGAGAGAAGGACACAATGATGACTGCAAGTCCTGACTCAGGAATAAACCACGACACAACAATTCTCCCCTAGCAGTTTGCAGTAATGGGCTAAACTAATGTCAGACTCAGGCTCCAAAATTAGCACTTGCCAAGCACCCAATGGGAGTAACAATTGTTTTTAGTGAAAAATGAAGTTACTTGCCATTCAGGAAATGCAAAATTATTTTTTTATATATATATTATATATAATATTTTTCCAATTTATTTTTCAATCAAATAAATGCAGTCTTGTTGAAGTCATTTTTAAAACATCAAAAAATTCTCACCGATCTTTTGAACAATAGTTTTCAGTCCTAAAACCACAGTGGCCCTAATATAAGCATTCTTCCATTTAATTGTGTTAATTAGCCCAGGCAGACAAACCAGACAGAGTAACCAGTCACTCATCAGTCATCCTGGGTCTAATCAATACCAGTCCGGGCAGTGATGACAGTGTACCAGTCTTACATTTTTACGGCCCATTTAGCAGGGGCCAAATGAGGGTGTTTGCTATACAGTGTGTCTGTAGCTGCGGGACCAAATGCAGGTTAGGAAGCCGTTAAAGCTAGGAGTGTTAAGCATCTAGAATAAAGGTTCGGGCAAAAAACAAAAAGCTACCTTTTATTTACAATTTTTTTCCATCACATAGTGTTCACACACTCGCAGGCTCAGAATCTGTTCTTCAACTCACATCTATCAGTTTATTCATGTGTGTGGAGAGGTATCAAAAAGCTGTTGGAAAAAGTGAGAGAAATCCTTTGTGTCTGGAGTGAGAGCCACGGGGGGGAGTGAAGCAGACTGTCTGGACATCACAATCAGGAACAGACTGGTCTGTACAGTTCTGTATGCTTTTATTAAGCATGTACTGGTTTTGCAGCATTAATACTCCAATCATTTACAATAGTTTAAAAATAGTAAGACATTTATTCCACTTCAGGACACTTTGAAAATATTCATAAGACTGACTTATAAGAACAGAGAGACTTGATTGAGTAAGAATTTTTTTAAAGGGGTCATCGGATGCCCGTTTTCCACAAGTTGATATGATTCTTTAGGGTCTTAATGAAAAGTCTATAACATACTTTGGCTAAAATTTCTCAATGGTAGTGTAAAAAACATCCTTTTTACCTTGTTAAAATCAGCTCTATTTTCAGCAACCCGTTTTAGTCCATGTTCCTTTAAATGCTAATGAGCTCTGCTGACCCCGCCCCTCTCTTCTGTGGGGTGACGAGCAGACTGTAAACTTCAGCCGCGAAACTGGCTAACTAGCACGTTATTAGGAAAGGCGATTTGCAAAGATTCATAAAAAACCCTTATACTCACTTCTT